CCGAGGTAAGCGAGAGCGTTGCAGCCAATCACACAATCCAGTTGGTCTTACTTAAAGGAGCTGTCTACTGTTGTTAGTAAGAAGCAAATGCAGATATGTTTTCAGTGAAGCATGTACTATTGTATATGTGCTACTTTTACTTGCTTTTACTTCACTGCTTAAAATTACCACTGATGAACAATATAGACACTTCATAATGATTAATTACATCAGTTTGGATAGCTTGAACTTTATCACTCAATACTATAATAATAATAATGCATCGGTTTTATATAGCGCTTTTCTGGACACTCAAAGACGCTTCACATGTGTCATTATTCATTCACTCCATACACGGTGGTGATAAACTACTACTGTAGCCACAGCTGCCCTGGGGCACACTGACAGAAGCGAGGCAACCAGTATGTGCCATCGGCCCCTCTGACCACCACCAACCATTCACACACACACCAGACTCATTCTAGGCAATGGGGGTGAAGTGTCTTGCCTAAGGACACAACGGCAGTTTGGCACTTTACAGCCGCAGCCGCCCCACTGTGGCTGGTGTTCCCAGAGGTTAAGTGTCTTGCCAAGGACACAACGACAGTAGTCAGTGGGAGTCGATGGTGAAAGTCTTGAGCGGGGTTTGAACCCACGACCTTCTGGCTCAAAGGCCAACGCTCTACCAACTGAGCTACTGCCACCCATACTTTCCACCAGTTCCACACTGTCTTGGAAAGGATTGCATATTTGCTATTTGAAACCTTTACCAGTAAAATGTCAGTCTAAATTTGTTCCATCTTGTAACAACACCTGTGACATTTACCCCTAAATCTAAGCAGCCGAGCCAAAGTTATTGAAAGTCCTAAAAAAACAAAACAAGGTTTCACTCCAAACACTCCAAACGAAAGTCGGTCTTACATTTGTTACATTTTCATTTAACAAAACAACACTCCCCCCTGGACTGCCACCTTAACGTGGTGGGGGAGTTTGAGTACTCGGATGATCCTGGGAGCTATGCTGTCTGGGGCTTCATGCCCCTGGTAGGGCCTCCCATGGCAGACAGGTCTCAGGTGACGAGTCAGACAAAGAGCAGTCCAGAAGACACCATGGACAGCACTAACACGAAAACAGTGACGTCGCCCGGCATGGCGCAGCCGGGGCCCCACCCTGGAGCCAGGCCTGGGGTCGGGGCCCGTATGCGAGCGCCTGGTGGCCGGGCCTTAGCCCACGGGGCCCGGCCGAAGCTCAGCCGGGCTCAGCCCGAAGGGATGACGTGGGCAGTCCCTCCTGTGGGCCCACCACCTGCAGAGGGGTCCGTGGTGAAGCGGTGCAGAGAGGACTGGGCGGCAGTCGAAGGCGGAGACCTCGGCGACCCAGTCCGCACACACAACATCTGGCTCTTGGGACGTGGAACGTCACCTCACTGGGGGGGAAGGAGCCCGAGCTCGTGGGGGAGGTTGAGCGATACCGACTAGAGATAGTCGGCCTCACCTCCACACACAGCTTGGGCTCTGGAACCCAACTCCTTGAGAGGGGTTGGACGCTCCACTTTTCTGGAGTTTCCCGCGGGGAGAGGCGGCGAGCTGGGGTGGCCATTCTCATTGCCCCCCATCTCAGCCGCCACGTGTTGGAGTTCTCCCCGGTGAATGAGAGGGTCGCGTCCCTCCGCCTCCGGGTGGGGAACAAGTCTCTCATTGTTGTGACGGCCTACGGGCCTAACAGCAGTGTAGAGTACCCGGCCTTCTTGGAGTCCTTGGGAGGGGTACTGGACGGTGCACCGCCCGGGGACTCCGTTATTCTCCTGGGGGACTTCAACGCCCATGTGGGAAACGCCAGTGACACTTGGAGAGGGGTGATCGGGAAGAGCGGCCCCCCTGATCTGAACCCGAGCGGTGCTCAGTGGTTGGACTTCTGTGCCAGTCACGGTTTGTCCATCACGAACACCATGTTCGAGCACAAGGGTGTCCACCAGTGCACGTGGCACCAGGACACCCTAGGCCGGAGGTCGATGATCGACTTTGTTGTCGTATCATCTGACCTTCGACCGCGTGTCTCGGACACTCGGGTAAAGAGAGGGGCGGAGCTGTCAACCGATCATTTCATTTCATTTCATTTATTTATTTATTTAATATGGACATAGCAATTAACATTGGACGAACCAGATGCATTGTTTAAAGTGTTATAGCACAAGTGCTAATTTTCAACACCTGTCCATAGGGGGCTTTTAGGTTACAAAGATAAAACACATTAGGAAACAAGGTTACAATAAAACACATTATTAAACAAGATAAGACATGTTTTAAACATGGGAACAAGTTTGGCCCGATTTGAGCCACTGTTTAAGCTCTCTGGTAAAGATGTTGATATTATTCTGCAGTTTCAGTGCAGTGGGGAGAGAGTTCCACAGTGTAGCCCCTCTAAAGGAGAAGCTCGACTGTCCAAAAGATTTTCTAAACTTTGGGAGCATCACCTGGTCGTGAGTTGGATCCGCTGGCAGGGGAAGAAGCCGGTCAGACCTGGCAGACCCAAGCGTATAGTGAGGGTCTGCTGGGAACGTCTCGCTGAGCCCCCTGTCAGACGGACTTTCAACTCACACCTCCGGGAGAGCTTCTCCCAGGTCCCGGCGGAGGAGGGGGACATGGAGTCCGAGTGGACCATGTTCTCTGCCTCAATCGCCGATGCGGCGGCTCGTAGCTGTGGTCGCAAGGTCTCTGGTGCTGGTCCCGGCGGCAACCCCCGAACCCGGTGGTGGACACCGGCAGTAAGGGATGCTGTCAGGCTGAAGAAGGAGTCCTATCGAGCCATGATGGTTCGGGGGACTCCTGAGGCAGCTGTCCAGTACCGGCAGGGGCCAAGCGTGCCGCGGCCCGGGCTGTTGCAGAGGCAAAAACCCGGGACTGGGAGGAGTTCGGAGAGTCCATGGAGCATGACTATCGGTCGGCCTCGAAGAGATTCTGGCAAACCATCCGGCGCCTCAGGAGGGGGAAGCAGTTCTTTGCCAACACCATGTACGGTGCGGGTGGAGAGCTGCTGACCTCGACTGGGGATATTGTCGGGCGGTGGAAGGAATACTTTGAGGTTCTCCTCAATCCCCCCGTCACGTCCTCTGTTACAGAGGCAGAGGCTGAGGATGTTGGGGCGGGTACATCCATCTCCCTGGCTGAGGTCACCAAGGTGGTTGGTAGCCTCCATGGTGGCAAGGCTCCGGGTGTGGATGAGATCCGCCCTGATTATCTAAAGTCTCTGGATGTTGTAGGACTGTCTTGGCTGACACGTCTCTGCAACATCGCGTGGCGATCGGGGGCAGTGCCAATGGAGTGGCAGACCGGGGTGGTGGTCCCTCTCTACAAGAAGGGGGACCGGAGGGTGTGTTCCAATTATCGTGGGATCACACTCCTCAGCCTCCCCGGTAAGGTCTACTCCAAGGTACTGGAGAGGAGGTTACGGCCGATGGTCGAATCTCGGATCCAGGAGGAGCAGTGTGGTTTTCGTCCCGGTCGCGGAACACTGGACCAGCTCTATACTCTCCATCGGATACTCGAGGGTTCATGGGAGTTCGCCCAACCTGTCCACATGTGCTTTGTGGATTTGGAGAAGGCGTTCGACTGTGTTCCCCGGGGTGTCCTTTGGGGGGTTCTCCGGGAGTACGGGGTCGGAGGTCCTCTGCTGAGGGCCATCCGATCCCTGTATGACCGGAGCCCAGAGCTGTGTTCGCATTGCCGGCAGTAAGTCAGACCTGTTCCCGGTGAATGTTGGCCTCCGACAGGGCTGCCCTTTGTCACCGGTTCTGTTCACTGTATTTATGGACAGAATATCTAGGCGCAGCCAGGGGTCGGAGGGGGTCCGGTTCGGAGACCACAGGATTTCATCTCTGCTGTTTGCGGACGATGTTGTCCTGTTGGCTCCAACAAACCAGGACCTGCAGCATGCACTGGGACGGTTTGCAGCCGAGTGTGAAGCGGCTGGGATGAGAATCAGCACCTCCAAATCCGAGGCCATGGTGCTCGACCGGAAAAAGGTGCCTTGCCCTCTGCAGGTGGGTGGAGAGGTCCTTCCTCAAGTGGAGGAGTTCAAGTATCTCGGGGTCTTGTTCACGAGTGAGGGAAGAATGGAGCGTGAGATTGACAGGCGGATCGGTGCAGCGTGCGCAGTTATGCGGTCGCTGTATCGGACCGTTGTGGTGAAGAGGGAGCTGAGCCGAAAGGCAAAGCTCTCGATTTACCGGTCAATCTTCGTTCCCTCCCTCACCTATGGTCATGAGCTTTGGGTAATGACCGAAAGAACGAGATCGCGGATACAAGCGGTCGAAATGAGCTTCCTCCGCAGAGTGGCTGGGCGCTCCCTTAGAAATAGGGTGAGGAGCTCAGTCACACGGGAGGAGCTCGGAGTAGAACCGCTGCTTCTCCACGTCGAGAGGAACCAGTTGAGGTGGCTCGGGCATCTGTTCCGGATGCTTCCTGGACGCCTCCCTGGGGAGGTGTTCCGGGCACGCCCCACCGGGAGGAGGCCCCGCGGAAGACCCAGGACACGCTGGAGGGACTATGTCTCTCAGCTGGCCTGGGAACGCCTTGGGGTCCCCCCGGACGAGCTGGAGGAAGTGTGTGTGGATAGGGAAGTCTGGGCGTCTCTGCTTAGACTGCTGCCCCCGCGACCCGGCAACGGATAAAGCGGAAGAAAATGGATGGATGGATGGAAAACAACACTATTCGCCCGTGAGTGAACTCGGGATCATGCCAATATTACAACTTTGAGGCTTTGATACTTTTAGTGAACATTTTGAGGATTCTTATTTTGTTTTGTATTTTTGCAAATACAATTTTAGTAATACAAATGTATAATAATAAGGAAAACATAACAATTGTGTCTATGAGTCTCTGTCTGTGAAAAGTGATGTATAAAAAAAAATGCTTATGTGTAAGAATAATCCAGTCAAAGCCCAGTCAATGTTCATATATTTTCTGTTTTGGAATACTTTTTCCAGACACTGTATGCATGCCAAACTGAGCTGACCTACTTACCCTAAAGATTTCTCCGAGCGGCTGCCAAGAGAGCCCACCACTTCTCCCAGGGTGCAGTGCGCTTGGCCAAGGAAGTCCTGCAAGGAGCAAAGATGTGACAAAAAATGTAAAACAAAACATTGTCAATGGTATTTTCTACCTATTAAAAATCGGTAGAATATGTGGTTGTTTGTCACCCATAATGAAAAAAACAAACAAAAATGACCAATATCCAAATGGATTCCATACTTTAAAGAGATAACCTAACACAAGGTTATGCAGCTTGTGAAGCATTGAGACTTTTCTTGCAATTGTATCGCAACTGTTTTGAGGATTCTATTTCAGTCTGTTCAGAAACAGTGACATCTGGTAGACAAATGTAATGATTGTAGTTTTTTAAGTGGATTTTTTTTGCATTGACGAATAACTTTTTTTTATAGTCAAACAAAGCTATGTAAGCCTTACCGAGAAAACGACACTGGTGCTCAAAAAGGTGCAATTAAGATTGGCATACAGTATTTACAAAAGCATTTGTATAAAATATAATGTATAACAATTGTTGCTGCTTTGTCTGCTTTGACTTACTGCCTCAGTTGCAGAGAACAGGGTCCTCCCAATTTTTATTTCACATTGATACAAATAATCCCAGAGACATCAACATGTTAGCTTTAACACGTTTGTGCATCGAATAAGTTATACTTCACAAATGTGGAAATAACAATGAGAAGAACACAGAGCTACTCTGCAGATACAGGATGTTTTTGACTCGATTGCAGTGTGGTGATCAAAAGGTCAAAAAAGAGGTCTGAGGCACTGTTAAAGTGAAAATATATATATATCCTTTATTAAAAATGGACTGCCTACGTGTTTTGTACCAAGTGATTATACTTTGACGAAGACCGCGGGGTTGAAACGCGTAAGCAGTCCATTTTTAATAAAGGACTTAAATATTTTTTCACTTCAACAGAGTGCCTCAGACCTTTTTTTTGACCTTTTGATGACCACGCTACAATCGAGGCAAAAACATCCTGTATCTGCTAAGATTACCCTGTATTTGAAGAGCACCTGTTTTGTCAAGCCTTTGTCTGCAGCACTCATCTTCCTTGCTTTGGGGAACAAACCTGTAGCTCGGGAGCTACAAGGATTTAAAATTAAACACATGATCTTGAATGATTCACCTTTGACTTACTCCATATCTATTATAAGCATAAATATAGTATTATACAGTATTATGGTTTATTACAGTATATAAATATTTTGAGTGTGCTGGAAACGGCAGCAAGTAGTTCTGAAACAGTTGCTGTTTTGAGTTTTACAATTGTTTTTCTTCTTGCTTTTTTCTACTGGAGTTGTTGCTGCAGTACTGTGTACATGGTTTTGTACTGGTCCAGACCAGAGCAGAGAGGATTCATGGTACGAACCAAGAGGATCGGACAAAAATCCACTGGAGGAAAAGTGCTTAAGAAGCATTTTACTTTGGACTTTGGACCGGAAGTACTGTTGCTTATTATTACTATTGTTAGCTTTTTAGAATAATCAATTTATTTGTTTTGTTTGTGTGGATGTATGTGCTTCTGCTGCAACTGGACACCTCAATTTCTCTTACAGAGATCAATAAAGTATCTTGCTAACTAAATAACTAACTAAGTATTAAATGAGACTTTGCATGATGAATTTTGGCAGGTAGAGTAGTTTGCTTACAGACCTGGCGGAAACGAGTCGCCGAACTCAAAGCCCCCAACCAACACCATCCATTCACTCAGTCATTTACATTCATACCCATTGTACATGTTTTTAGTGGCATGGTATGGGAAACCGGAGCACCCAGAGAAAACCTATGCAGACACGGGGAGAACATGCAAACTCCACTCAGAAAGGCCCTTTTCCGATCGGGATTCAAACCCAGGACCTTCTTGCTGAGAAGCGAGAGTGCTATCCACTCAGCCACTGAGCCACTGAGCCACCCACGACCCTAACCCTGATCTGGAGTCTGTAATGAATATAGCATAACTACTGTATATGTTAATGTTACTAAGAAGGAATGTGCATATTCATTAAAATCTCAAAATTGAAAAAAATAAATATATTTTAAATGATAAATAAATCTGATTCCTGGATTGAGATTAAATAAAAAGTCATAAGAGCTAAAAGACTGGCCCTTGTGACTGATGCCAGACCGAGTCCTTGTTTCTCCTCTGCACAGAACACAGACTGCAGATACTTATAGTTCACTTAGTTTATGCGACAAACAAGGAACAAACACAGTGTGGGCGATACTGATTCTCATATCCATGTTGCTTTTAATGCCATATGGATCTGCGTGTGTATCCACAGATTTATTTATATTTTATCATCAGACTTCCATCACAGATCAAAGCACAATGACAAATTGGTTTCACATGAAGACACTAATCGTAAACTTAATACATACATTTCATACTGTAGTCCATAATAAATATAGTCAAGGTTCAATGAGTTTATCGTGATATGTGCATCTAATCAATTTATACAAGCAGAATACATAGATGCAGATGCAGAGTAGATGCATATACAGTATAAGCCTCTGGTGTAACATTACCTAGAGCCTTTTTTCATGTTTCCCATTGATAATTTGTTTTGGCAGCAGTGGATGGAGAATTCCCTCCATAGCACAACACCTGCTGCACTTGGCTCCCTTTACACTTTGCGGCTAAATTAAATCGCCATCTTTGTGGACCATATGATGCAACAGAATTGACAGAGAAAATAAAAGGGGGTGGCAGCTTGCCCAAACGCAATATTTACAGTGTATTCATCTACAGCCCAAAAATGTAAAAGACCAATTTCAAAGCAATTATGAAAAAGATAAAGAATTGAGGTTGAGAAAAGGATTAGGCAATCATAAAATAAAAAAATATGGATATGGGAGGGGGAAAATTTCGAAACCCCTACAGACCCCTCTCTAAAGGCACACATATACAGTATAAGGTTGAATCTGATTCATGTATTTTTCTATATCACAAAATCCCACCAGCAGTCATTTTGAAGGGTGTCACAGAATTGTAGATTTGTAAGATCAGGTTAGAGAAATCACACAAGTAGAAGAGATACTATACAATAAGTACCACATCTGTGAAAATACGAGACGAATAATGGATATAATAAATAATGTTCAGTAACCAAGACATAGGCCTCGTCTACAAAATAGACTGTTTTTGATGACGACTCTTTCCTCTGGGCCCCCTGTGGATTTCATATGGTTCCCAGGTGCAGACACAGCCTATCTATTCCCTCAACACAACACACTTCTAATGCATTTCCTTTTGGCCCCTCCCTCAAGAGACAGCTACACAGTCACTGAGCGCCAAGTCTACACGCTTGTTTCCTGTATGAGGTTATTGATTTCAAGAAAAAGAGGTGTGGTGGTGCGGGGAAAAAGCACAGACGAAGAATGAAGTGAGATAACTCAAGTTTTCCAGCTGACTGGGATTTAAAAGGTGAGAGAATAGAGAAATGAAAGTATTGCATCAAGGACTGTGTGTACAAATGGATACTCTGAGGATAGGTTATTATTAGGGATACATCGATCGTGAAACTTTGGGCCAATACCGAAACCGATGTTGGACGATTTTTTTTTTTTTTTTAAATTCATATTCATATATTTCTTGGTGGCTTTAGTTTTCTGTTTTTCCTCAGCTTGGATACAATAGCTGTAAACCACCTTGCTTCTCAAAAGTCCAAATGTGAAATCTCACTGAACATGTGGTGTAAACTGCACAACGCTGATTTTTTTTCTAATGCCGTAAAGTATTGCCACACGACCGCCGCCGCCATCTTCTTTGTTTCTTCTACTGAGAAAAGTGTGCAGGAGCGCTTTATCGGTATCTCTCTGCACGCGCCTACCATCAGCAAATGTGATTTTGATTTGCCGATGGTAGTTAACAAGGCAAACATCAGCCGATACCGATTTACAGTTTGCATGGATCTAACAAACTGTAAACATTCAACATACTGTAACTGCCCAAATATACTGTATAGTAGGTACAGGTGAAACTCACGAACGTTATCTATTTATGTCTGTAATCTAACAAAAAAAATGAAACTAATATATAATATGGACTCAGAGCATGCATAAGTGATAATTCAAAATCTCACAAGTTAATGAAAGTTAATAAAGCTTTTCACAATGTTCTAATAATTTTGAGTTTCATCTGCCTTTACAGTAGCCTGGTCGTACCACACCATAGTACAAATCACATTTCGTACTAAGGTATGGATTTGCTCCATTGAGCTCCGTTTACAGGTGGGAGGGGTTAACTCCTTTTGCAGATTGAAACGATTGGATCTGAGTTTACCGTCACGTATGTAATGCGCCTGAGTGAGTCGTTAGCATTTAGCATTTAGCCTAGCCATCTCCTTTGCCGCTAACGGAGCCCGTGGGGAGTAGCGCCACAATCTTTTCCAGCAATTACATTTGCTAAACATTCCTATTGCTCCGGCTTCAATTTCTTGATAGAACCAGACCGGATTACTTTACTATTGCATTCTTTGTTATTGCCAAACTACAACCTGCTCGTTCGGCGCAAACTCTTGATGTCACCCACAACCAACAACAACACCCGCCTCCCGCGCTCGCTGATTGGTCGGATGGAATTCAACCGATTGTATTCGCTAACACAGGGACCAGCCCCAGACGTTACATGCAGGGAAATGATTATTGAGCGGAGTGTACGGATGGCTAAGGCCAGGCTACATTTACAGTACACTAGGACTGGACATTTTCGCATTAATGCCATATGTCAAAGAGTTTGATGCTTTGGTGAACAGTGGGTTTGACTGACCATAGAGTCTATAGAGGACATTACATACAGTACAATCCTAATGTCCACTATATACATCAGCCACACTATTCTCTATAGAAAAAAAATGACTGGACTTACTTCCTTTTAAAACTGCTCAAAAAAAATTCAGGGCATCTGGAATCTCTCTACGGTACATAACTTGATAGAGATAAAGATGCACACCATCATAACAGAAAGAGGAAGCAAAAGAATAAATGTGCCTGACTATAGAATCCATATGCGTCTATTACTGAACAAGTATGTAGAGGGAGGAGTAATACCTTCAGTACAGAGTGAGTGATGGTGAAGAGGTGTGTAAACTGGTAAATGGCGTCTAAAAATATAGTCTTCAAAACAGATCACAGATACATGTTTGAATCTGGAATCTGTGAAAATTACTTGTTAATGTGTTGACAGTGTTTATGACACATATAAAAAATATCAGCTGATGCAACCGTAAAATGGCACAAAAAAAAGAAAAAGAAAAGATGTGAAAATGATTTATGATATTATTTTTTGGGGGGTTACATTAAGAAGTCATATTTTGGCATGCTTTGTGGTTGTAACATGTGGCATTCTGGTTGCACCAACTTACTTTATAGTTACTAATAATTAGGGCTGTCAAAATTATTGCGTTAACGCACGTTAATTAATTTTTTTCATTAATCGCGTTAAAACAAATAACGCATTTGACGCATTCCCATGCGTCCCATAATAACACTCAGAATGCCGCGGACACATGCGTGTGTAAGATGGGAGACAGAGCAGGTAGGCCCTCTGGGAATTCAAGTTTTTAAAGAATACACGCGTGACCGCGGGGCACTTGTAGTTTCCTGTATGAACTCTGCATGATGAGCTGCGGACAGCAGGTCCCACTTCCAGCGACTGTGATCACGGCGAACGGCGCTGCGTAACGGGATCATATCCAAGACCACGCACAGAACCATTACAGAACTATTCTCTAGTGTGCGTACGTGTCTTTGCGTAACCGATGCACACAATATGTACAGCGCTGAAGCTGGACTGCGGAGCCTCAGTCTCCTCCGTGTCTTCTCCCGAAGCGCACTCGCTAAATTAAAGCTGAGGTACCTAATTTTCCTTTCGACCATCAGTTCATGTTAGTTGTGCCAAAAAAAGTAATGTTGTGAGCAAATCAAACAGATTTAATGACATTCTGCATTTCAGACTATTTTGAAATGTCCCTCATCTTTAACAAACAATGGTTTTGGTCTGAGTCTAAACAGAAAGACAGAATGTTAATAATGTTGATTCCATTTTATATGGATTTATTGTTATAACAAACAAATACAGTACATATGTTCACTAAGCTGTCATTTATCTTTCCATTCAAACAACAATTTACAGAAAAATATGGCATAATTTTGCCAATAGTTTGAAATGTGATTAATTACGATTAATTAATTTTTAAGCTGTAATTAACTCGATTAAAAAAATTAATCGTTTGACAGCCCTACTAATAATACATATATTTAAAAAGATCCCACATGACTTGGGTGACATGATGAACTAAATAGATCATAGCCAATCATATGTGCATTCAATACACATTTGAACAATAGATAGTGTGTAGAGTGTACAGGTAAAACTTGGAAAAAATAAGGAGGGAGGTCCTTTACTTTGATATTTCAACCCATTTTGATGAGTGTAGCTTACAGTACATTTTCTAAATATTTTTTATTTCATATTATGGTTCATTTTGGGTTTTTACTAGCTTATTGAATTACAGAAAATCTGACTTTTGAACAATATTTTAATTTTCTGAGTTATACTTGTGTAGTCGAGCATTTGTAGCTGTTTCTATGTTGGAAGAAGCTAAAATACATTTCTGAAGCAAATAGCTAAACATAATACACTATTCAGAGACAGTCCCTGATCCCTGCAGCAAAGCACAAGCAGCGTCTTTAACCCTCGTACACATGTTTTAGAGACATATTTGCTTTACTTTCATAAAAGCTGTCAATCTGTCAACTCCAAAGAAACATCAAGATTATTCACCAAAGCAACTACAACTACTGTATGCAATAAAATAGACACACATTTCTAAAATGGTTCTTACAAGATTGATTACAATTAGAATAGGTGCAAGGGGACAACTGCAAACGTCTTTCAAAATTACCCACTTTCAAAGACTAAATTATTGTATTGTTCTTTGTAATTACTGCTAATGACAGCTATGGCAAGAAATGCAGCTAAAAGAGTGGACAAGGGAAATTACTGTTTGTTTGATTGGTTCAGTAATGTGCACGCTGGTGATAAACACTCTTATTATACCGGTACAATAACAGAGATAAGGCTCTTGTCAGGCCAATAACATTTAATATCGTTAGGTCTAACAATACGCTGAACACTGCTTCAAATGGAAATGTGCGCCTCGTCGAAATGAGAAAGAAAACACTCAATAATACTCAACTCTCAATATTTACCTATTTTGTACTGTGATTATTCATTTGTGATGTTCTCTTACACACGAGGCACTTTGAGTTGTACTTTGAGTTGCCTTGTGCATAAACTGTTTTATTTGAGCTACTGTGCTATTTAAGTAAACTTGCCTTGCCATTATTTATTTTTTGACAAATCTTAGAAATGTAAAGACTTGCAAACTCACTCACTGTAAGTATACCTTACCTTACTAGAAAAATTAGAAGTAAAATGAAAGCAAAAAAGATGCAAACGTTTATTTTGTGCACTAGACAGCAACAGAGATCCAGGAGTAAGTAAGTACTCATTAAAAAATAAATCTTTTAAGATTAGCGTTTGTTGGGTGCAATCAAGCGTTGACAAGGGCTATCACAGTGAGTAGAATGAAGGAGGGGGCGCTATTTGTCTGGATTGGCTTCACATCATTATAGACAAACTATGAAATGGCAACATGCTGGCTCTCCATAAAATCTGATCACCTGGACCAGGCTAGAATTAACCAGGAGTGCTAACAGACAATGTTAGCACTCCTGGTCCCATGTAAATTATTTGTCATCATTATGACTTTGCAGCTGTAGTCTATTCTTTGCTATTCGCCTGCTGTCCAATTGTCCGTTTCATGGCGTGATGATGGGACACCTGAACCCAGCCTCTTTCATTTGCACCTGTGTCTTCCCCGGCCCAGACTTGTGGGCTCATCCATGACATTTAAAGGAGCAATATGTAAAAATCTGGCCAAAAGTGGTACTGCAGTCACAGTCAATATTTTGTAGTCCTCTCCCACTCTCCCTGACTCAGGTTGCCAGATTCACACCAAATCCAGCAGCAAACACAGGGAATTATTTTATCAGTTGTTTGTCCGTCTCCATTCACATTGCCATGACAGCCGTGCTAATGCTGAATGAATGTTTTGATTCATGTTTTTTTATTATTATTATTTAGACATTTGAGATAAAAAAACAAAAACAAAATAAAAGCAATGTAATTATACATAGTTTATGCAAAATAAATAAGCAATTGATGTCCAAAATAGGAGTGGGAAGAATGGATGTTGGAAGGTATTTCTTCAGCGTATCAACATCAGGGTTTGCTCAAGAGGATATCACCTTTACATTTTATTTATTCCCTATTTTTTAGACAAACATGTAAAAGTTCCACATCAAAAAGAGACTAACATTATTTTAATTGGGGTACATGTGATCTTAAATGATTATTTTTACAATTAAGCTATAATCTGCAAAAAAACGTCTTGACCTACATCTTTTACCGTTTTTAGAGCAATCTGTCATCGAATGTGATAACATGCAATTAAATACAAAAAGACATAGCCCGGAATCGAACCCGGGTTCCTGCATCGTGAGCGCACAGTTTTGACCACTATACCACCGATTCACAGTTAGAGTCACTGTGAAGAACGGACTAAATGTAGAAAATTCTGCATTACACGTGAACTTTGTCTGTCTCAATTGTTCAAAGGCGTCCCGATATAAATCCTCGTTTTAGTCTTTGTTTTGTCATTAATGATTTGAGAGTCATAACAAGACCTTTTTTAGTTCTGCGCCACATGTTATTTTACCACTGAGATTAGTGAGCCGCACGGAGTTCTGGCAACCCGATCACGGACTTACATGACACTTCCTGATTGGCGAAACGGCGGAGGGTAGGACATCAAAATCAAAACAATAACAACTTTTACGGGTCGTAAAACTAATTTTGATGATCAAATATCTCGGCTGAACTACTGTTTTCAGTTAAAGATGAATTCGAAAAGAGTATGATTTAATAACGCCTTTTGAACTATTCGGGTCATTTAATGATGACTTGACATGCAAATATTACATATTGCTCCTTTAAGAACATCTAAGGACATCTATCAACATTCATGAACATGGGTCATCATGGGTCATCACCCCTTTTTTACAATTGCCTTTCCAGTGTTTGAATTGTTTGATTCTCTGTGTTTGCAAATCAACAACTTTGTAAAGTCATTCAAGATAACTGCTGTTGTGATTTAGAGCTATGCAAAAATAAATTGAATTGAATAGGGGAAGATAATTCCCTTGGACACAGGGAGGAGAGGCCGCAAGCTGGGCCTTGATTTTCACTAATCTGCCACTGCGCTTCCCATGGCGCCAGCAACGTCTGTACAAAAAGTGCAGCTGGCACACGGAGCAAGTAAGCCGGCACATCAGAAAGAAACAGAAGGTATGTTGACTGCCCATAATTGAGACAAGTGTTACCAAAACTTCACAAAGGTCATACACCAATAAACCATCAACAACAAAAAGACTCAGGACAGATGCAAACACGGTACAGCTGGCCTTACACTGGCACCCTCTTCACATGTAACCAGAAAGACATTAATCCACAACAACCCACAAAGAGATACAATAACTTAGCTATTTACACAATAAGATGTTGCCTAAAGATATAGATGATGCAGATTGTGTTATGCGACTTACATGTTTGGAGAGGTTGGCACTCTTGGAGTCAACATCATACCTGTAGAGGCAGAATTAGAGAAGAGCGTGAGACCACGCAAATCTGACACTTTCATGTGAAAATGTAACAACAAATTATGGTGTGGGTTCCAAGAATGAGTAAGCATGCAGACAAAATTGGAATTTCCTTTGTTTTAACAACGTAAATAAGTAAGTAAGTTAGTAATATTTATTTATCTGGAGTCACAAAGCACTCTCTCACTCCACACAGACATGGGAGAGGGGTTGCCATACAGGACGCACACGCCACTCTACAAGTTTTTAGTGGTAGGGGAAAACGGAGCACCCGGAGGAAACCTATGCATAGCACACATGGGGCCTGGAGGTGGAAACAAACCCGGGACCTTCTTGCTGTGACACAAGCGCTAACCACTGAGCCACCATTCTGCCCATCTATCCGTCATCTGTCATCTATCTGTCACACTCTCCACCAATATTTTTAGTTGTGGCTCAAACGGTACCTTTTTATAATGTAATATTGTAAACCGCCACAACTTTCCTAGAGACAGAAGACACTGAGGACATTTGAGCTCTTCACAGTGACCATCTTCACCCGGGAGCTCACTGCAGAGTCTTTGTGCACTATTGCCAAAGCCAGAGTCAGCAATAGATTGTAAAATTGTCAGACTTATCAAGAGGATCTATGAGATTGCAGCCATCGGTGACTCTAAAACAACACTGATGGCAAATTTTTGTAGAAGCTCGTATTATGGCTTTGAAGGACTGAGTGGTGTCGCTGGAAATGGAGGGTGGCGGGATTACCCAAGCAAAGAGTGCTTTTGAAAGCCACTCCAGATGTGATAATGTGCGTTGGCGCATAACTTGATGGAAGGTACAGAATGCAAAGGGAGATACTCCCTTTGCATTCTTGGATAAGTTTAACTCCATATTGCTGCAGCTACCCTGAAATCGCCACAGACTGAGAGCACTCTGCCTGTCGATGACCGCCCTCGCTCCAGAGACATCACAACAACTATGTCAGCTGTGAAACGTCTGGGGAATATGCAGCAAGCCGACAGACGTCTTCACATTGCTCCAGACATCGCATTGTTATCCTGGCTCCTCAAGAGAGATTATACCCGCTCTGTGCAGAGCTCATCAAGCAGAATATTCTGTATGTTTTTTTATGGGTTTTTTTTTCCCTGCCGTGCTATTTTTTGAGATAAACCAGACTAATTTCATACATTTTAAAGATGAATTAATTCCACCGAGGTCAAATGTTGGAACCTGCTGATGAGTCTGACCTCTGTCATACTCTTTGTGGCCACTTCAGTCTAAGAGCAGCGAGCTACTGTTGACCATTGATCATCTTTTATTTTGGTCTCATAAAGGGATCAGAATACTGTTTAACAAACAATCTAAATTGAAACAAGAAATACATGTATTCAATTACAATAAAACAATTGGGAATTTTGTCATTCACTTCCATGTTTGAAAACAGTACGAAAAAAGTTCAAAAGGGTTAAATTGTTGAATATATATCGATTTTATATAGCGCTTTTTGGGACACTAAAAGACGCTTCACATGTCATTATTCATTCACTCCATACACGTTGGTGATAAACTAGTATTGTAGCCACAGGGGCACACTGACAGAAGCGAGGCTATCAGTACAGTATGTGCCATTGGCCGTGCTAACCACCACCAACCATTCACACACACACACCAGACTCACTCTAGGCAATGTGGGTGAAGTGTCTTGCCTAAGGACACAACAACAGTTTGGTACTTTACAGCTGTCCCTCTGTGGCGCATGGTGTTCCCAGAGGTCTCCCATCACAGTACTATTCAGGCCCTGCCCTGCTTAGCTTAAGTGATGTGGCTTTCACATGCAGGTATGGCATGTGAAAGCACCATTAGGTTTTGTTTGAAAGTTGTGTTTTTTATGTTCATCCTAAAATAACCACCTTTTGTGTGAGTAGTTTATGTAATAGGTTCTAAAGTAAAGTGGAGACGGAAAAAGGATGATTCTTGGACTGTTTTGACCGTCAGTAATTGATAGGATTTTTAGGATAAACAAATGTATATCCTAAAAAAACAACTATGTACAAATAAAACAATTTAAAATAAAATAAAAACATTGAACAGTATAGGTGCTCTTCATTCCCGTGCCCTGACAGGGACTCAAAGTTGATACTTATTGTTTTGGTAATAAACTAAAACTTTGTACAACATCACAGTGCATCGTACAAGTGCTGTCCAACGATTAAAATATTTAATCGCGATTAATCGCATGAATTTCATAGTTAACTTGTGATTAATCGCAAATTAGTCACACATTTGTATCTATTCTTTATGTCCCTTGAATTATCATTTTAATACTACTAAAAATGGTGCTACTAAAAATGGCTGGTGCTATGAGACTTGGGTGGCATCTCTGACTGCCACCCCCCTGACCCAGAAATGGATTAAAGGGTAGAAAATGGATGGATGGATGGATACTACTAAAAAGTGAATAGGCGTGCTGTGTGCAATTGCTTTTTTTAATATTTTGTAAATTTGTTCATGTAAATACTCTATGCTGTTTCTCTGTTTACTTTTGGTATATCTATGACTGTATACTGTTTGCTTGTATTGCCTTTTTTATTAACCCCTCCCCCCATCTCCCACTTCATGTCCCCCCCCCCCCCCCCCCCCCCCCTCCTGTGTGCCCTTCTGGGTTTCTTCTTTGGCCCCCTGTATCACTACATATTGTTTGTAATCTCTGTCTACAATGTATCTGAACTAGTCCTTTTCTTTGTTTCTATTTTTTTCTGTATATGTGTTTGTCTGCAAATTTTTTTTTTTTTTTTTTTAATCGCGCGATAAAAAAATGACGCCGTTAATATTGATTTGCGTTAACGCGTTAATAACGCGATATTTTGGACAGCACTACATCATACATTCTCTCACTTTTTGCATAAGGTAATGAATATTACAAATAACCATTGTGTACATGCATAATGACTACTCACAAGTCAAATCGAAGGTTCTGCCGCTCTTCAAAGAAGTAGTCCAAAATGAATTTTCGAACAAAGTCAGGATTTAACGTGTTGTCAATCACCTCTGTTCTTCCAAACTATAGAAGGGAACAGAAAAGCATAAACGGACATCATTACAAGTTTGTACAACAAATGTATAATTCACGTTTTTGTATTTCAGTGTTGTTGAATCACCCATTTGGTCAAAATTAAGTGAAAAGAAAATAATGTGAGAATATTGGAAAGACTTTTTTGTGCTTGATTGAATTCTATATAATGCACTTTGATGAGAATGACTTTCAGTGTTGATAAAGGCTGCAGAATTTCATGTTTTAGCTAGTGTTGTGCCACGTGATTTTTTTCAATGGAAAAGGTGTGCCACAGCTCAAAAAGATTTCTTGGGTTTCATATGACGTCAGGGCAGTGGCGCGAATAACAAACGTAGGACAGGACTTGACATATTCTGGAGGTGCTGTCTGCCAGGTTTATACACGGAGATATAGTAGAAGAAGAAGCGCTGTCAAAATGCCATCTTTTTGTGCGGTGTACGCTTGTAGCAACTGCGCAAATAGAGAGAAAGACAAGGGTCTCTTTCGTCTTCCAACTGTGGGCTCATATAAAGAAGTACACTTTGAAAAAATCACTCGAATGAGGCGGGCGAGGTGGATCAAGGCTTTCCCAGATAAGCGCCCCCTGCAGGCCACCCAAATGAAACACAGCAATTTCCTCTGTTTTTTTTTTCTTCCAAAAATGCCCAAAATCAAGACCCTTTTGAGAAATATTTTTTAGAACTCCCTAAGAATTGAGTGTCCCCGATTAAGACTGTTACAACAACCGTACACCGCACAGGATGAGAGCCTTTTGACTCCAGAACAGACACGATTGACATGGTTTTCAATGGGAGCAAAACTGAGTTTTCCCACCTCTGCTCATTCGCCCCCTACTGGCCAGTTTAATGAAACCCAAGAATATCTCCAAATATATTTGTTGCCACCCTTCTGACCCAAGTTTTGTACAAGGAGCTATACCCGTTTCAGCAAGATTTGAATGTTTAGCAACGCACTGTTAACAAAATATATAACTGAAGAATTACCGCTGGTTTCGCGTCCGAATGTAGTCCGAACATAGATAGTCCGAGCATAGATAGTCTGAGGCGGTCCGCACCTGCAGGTCTCTCCCATAGACAAGTCTCTCCAGAGGATACAATGTAAGCTAGCTATGTTCACCTGGGCTTTATTTCTTCTTTGATAATTTTTTCGCTTTAGTTCCCTCTTCTCTTCCTCACTGTTGCGTCGTTTGGGCTGTTTTGCTGTGTGTGCAGTTACAGCCAGAGGAGTTATAGCCAATTCTGCTAACATGCTACTGTGTTTAGCAGCGCTGTAGAGGCAAGAGGACGCAGCGTGTTCGCGCCTCGTTCTGTGATTGGAGGAGAGTGTCCCGCTAAGTCTCTACTCAGCACTTTTTATGGCCTGAATTCATACACAAGCTGAATCAATGAGCTCAAGTTTTCAATTAAATTACGGATTATAATACAACTTGTATGTAGTAATAAGCATTTTTATGAACTAATTAAAAAAAATCGGGTATAGCATCTTTAAAAAATGGCTTGACACTTTTTCTTCAGGAGAGGCATTAGTGTTTGAAGTGGCCACAGAGGATTATGGTCACCTCTGGACTAATGGAGCAGGATCAGCTGAGTCATCAAGTCAGTAAGGGTCAATGAGGTCTGGCTTTAGCATTTCCTCGCCCTTATTAATAATGCATGCAGACGACAGGCCACTCACCACTGTGGATAAGTGCCAATGATAGGGGTGGCACATCTCGCTGGTCATTTACATAGATTAGTATTCATAACCTGAGCTAAATGCCACTTTCAAATATCCACTCAGATAAGCAGCTGTGAAAGGGATTCCCCCACTCAAGTACGGCTCAGTGGAAACATGAACAATGCATTTTCTGTGCATACAACACACAACAATATGTCATTAAAAAGTGGATTCAAAAGAGTAAGTATCACATTGCAAATTAGTTTTATGTCAACGGATTACTAACTGTTTAAATAAAGTTTTCAAATGTAATGAAATAGCTATCCAGATCAACTCAAAATACAAAACTTGAAAATAAATCTTTGTTATTATAATATAAAGTCAATATATTGATGTTATTAGAACATTGTTTTTGATCTGGAGCCATATATGATCAATGTTATAAGGAATCGAATGTGGCTCCGGGAATCCTACAGGAGGGTTTGTATGTTAATCAATTGAGGAAGCCTGGGCCTTGTTTGAAGTTTGGGGTTTTTGGTTTACTATTTACTTTTAACAGGAGGGTTGATTTACAGGTTAATAAGGAAGGTCTTGTCTCATTGTTTTCTTTCTTTCCTGTTGAAGGTGTGTCCTCCTTTCCTATTAAACCGATCTACTGTCATGAGGTGAAGTGAATGAAGAACCCAAAATGCAGGAATGCCAAAAATGATGATTTAATGAAAACAAAATAAAAGTCCCGGTGAAAACAAACTCAAAATCCAAACAAAAACACAGGAACGAGGATAACAGACGGACAAACACGGAGACAATACAGTGGACCAGCAACAAGGGGAGAGGAGCACATGGTACATACTGTATGGACAGAGACACAGGTGAAACACATAAGGGTGGGGCAGACAATCAGCAGGGGAACAGGATAGGAAGTTAAACTAAAAATGAAACCGAGCAAGCGAGGTTAATAAATGTTTTATTATATGACTATTTTTAATTTGTACAAATATCGATCAGTTTCAACAAGCAAAAACACATAACCAAACTGTCAAATCGTGACATGGAGAACTTGCTTATCAAATGATTGAGGTCGCCCGCTGGTAAGTTCTCAATCTCTTCTGTGTCTTTACCAATGCTTTTTAGATATTTGTGAAGTATGTTCATGCCTGACTTGGTTTTCCTAATCGTGTTTTTACCTTTCTGGTCTGTAACGAAGTTGTCAATCTCTTCTTGACTGTTAGGAGTTGTGTTTTCGTTGTTATTTGCTGTTATCACTTCCTCTGGCTCTTCGAACTCGTCCGTGTAATAGAATTCACTGGGAGAAGGCTCCCATCGTCGCTCATTATTTATTTTTTACAGAGGAAAGATATCAAATCTGATACGCGCTGCGGACCAATTGTCATGGTAATGTGTTGTATTTATAAATAAGAGACATTCTAAAACCATGTGTATTATGATCTATCGACCTCTGAGTGGCAGGCCAGTCCTTTTAAGTTAATTTTAGGGGTCTTCTTGGGGGACCAGCTAAAGTAACAGATGGGTTCTTCTGTTTGGATTTTGTCTGCCTAGCCTTGGCCCATGCTGACTTTTGCATTATTGAACCCACTCCATCAGGAGTGGGTTGACACTGGAGTCTGCCAGTCTACGCACTACTTGTTTAGACAACAGAGATGGATCTCAGACCAAGAGACAGCTGGCCGGAGACACTAGGTTAGAAAAGCATGGATTCTTTTTTTAGGTGCAGACGGGAGAAGACCAGATGGTGGAAGGCGGATCACGGGACCCCGGAAGCTGGCTGATACCACGCCCCTTCTTCTTGCACATTTTACATATAGTAGATAGTTTGAATGTGTGGTTAGTTAGTTTTTTGGCGGACCAGGGACAGTGTGTGATTTTGGTGTGGAGCGCCCACCCAAGTCATACTTTTATATTTTATATAGAGAATAAGGGATAGTTACTTTTGGTCCGAACAGCTGTTTTAGATTCTTTTTGTATTAGGGAAATAAACCTTTTTGGATTTAACTTTCTGAATCATGGTCATCTTTATAAGGGATTTTGAACACGTCATTTTTTAATACGATAATTGGTGACCCTCGACGTGATCCCTTTGATGACTTTTCGCCTTCCCTTGGACTCTGCGTCTCTCCTCAAAGCGGCCGCTGAACTGAAGGTAAGCAGATACCTTTTGACTAATTAAAAATCTGCATATTGGACTAAACAAATTAAGGGGAGAGAAGTTTTGTCCACGGAGGAGCTAATTCAAAAAGTAAAAATAGTAAAAGCCTAAAAAGTAGTTAGAACCCTGCGAGAATATATTAAAAGTAAAGATTTTTTGAGAAGCCTTGCCAGAAACAGGAAAGCCCGCTGTGACTAGCGTGGTTGACGGACGCGTCAACACACAAGTTAGGTTTAACCCATTGGAGCCTGGGGGAATTTTGGGCCCCCCCGAAAAATGGAGACAGGCATTCAAATCGAGCAGCTCTATAAAGAGATAGAGGCTCAGATTCTGAGTGGTCTGGATAAAAAATATAGGAACAAGGCAAAACGAAAGGCTGTGAAAGCATGGGAAAAAATACAGAACAAAAGGGTCATACCTGAGTATATGACAGCGTCCGCATTGGCTAAGATATTGCGGGAAGAGGAAAATAATTTAAAACAGGATAAACTTGAGCTTGAGGGAAAGCAGGGAGAGAGTTGGAATGAGCGTAGAAAAATTAAGAAGGAACTAAAAAAGGCTGAGAAACTGAGGACCAAGGTACATAATTTTGCTTTGGCTGCCACGGCGTTGGCAAAATTACCGATGGTAAGTAAAGACAAGGAAACAGAAAACGGAGCAATGCCGGTGAGTAATATATACCCATCCCTACCCACGGCTCCACCAAAGTATTCTCTAGGTTTAGAACCAGGTAAGCCAAATCTAATATTGCCACAATATACATTTTCAGGAGAAGTGGCGGTAAGAAAGAGAGGGGACAATGATTTTGTAGACAGGGAATTTGACGAAGGGACAGAAGAGGAGTCTGTGGGGGACAATAGAGATCCGAGTCAAAATCCAGCTGTCAGCCTCCCGCCACAGCTCCCACACACCCCTCACCAACCCCCATCTATTCAAGAGGAGCTCCTGCACTCTCTCAGAAATATTAGAGCTAGGAAACCGACCTTTGAATGCACCACAGACAGAGTTGAGAGAGAAGAAACCGCAAGTAGGACCCATGATTACGAGACCGCTAGACAGGAGAATGCAAAATTAATTAATAAAGCCGCACGCAGAGCCATGACTAGGACGGACAGTGAGAGTGACAAGGGAGACGGTGCCATGGCCCCACCAGTACTTAAAGCTA